AAAAACATATTTACATTTTTTTTAATGTTTTTAAATATTATTTTGTAGAATATCTTAGGCCTTCACAGAGGGCCTAGAGGGCCCTGACGGCTCGCCACTGTAAACAACACACATTTAGGTGAAAAGATACAAAGAATAACTTTAGCTTTTGGTGAAAGTTGATGCCTTTACTTTTGTACGTTTGTATTCCACTGGCATTCCTTCGTGGGGTCAGTCAGTGAGATTGTTCTGCACCTTTTTCTGAAACACTTTTTAGGATCACTGCCCTCTGCAGATATGAAACCCCAAATTGAACATTTTCAAACAAGTTATTTTGTGACTGATCTCTCCCACTGAGCTCCAGTGTTTTTTCTGCTGTTGTAGGGAGAAAAAAGAGTTGAAGAGACAGATGGATCGAAGGAGAACAGAGAAGATCAATCAAGCGAAGACCAAAGAGAAACATCTGGCAGAAGAGTACGATCCATAAACACACACACACACACACACACACACACACACACACACACACACACACACACACACACACACACACACACACATTACTTTAGTGCAGGGGTGTCAAACCCAATTTCATCGTGGGCCACATTAGCATATGTATTAAATAATGTATTATATTATATTATTGCCTCTGCATTGGATTTTTATCGGATAGGGTAATAACTTCATAATTAACTACGTCTGAAAGCAGAAGTCTAGGGTAAATAATTGCAAGTCTCTTCAGTGCGCATGTCACAAAATGAGATGCATTGTGGGACATATAGTTTATGGGCAACATAAGATAAGATGGACCTTTATTAATCCCCGTGGGGAAATTCAGTAGTTTAACAGCAACAGGGTAAGATTGAAAAACAGGACAGCACAGATGAAGGTGAATACAATTAAGAATAAAAAAAATAAAAAATAAAACTATAAAATAAGAAATTAATTAAAATGAACATATATAGATATTCTGTAAAGTAGCATGTAACCGTATAATAAACGTATTATATTCTTTGCAAGCTCTTGTGGGCCACATCAAATGAAGTCGCGGGCCGGGTTTGGGCCCCGGGCCTTGAGTTTGACACCCCTGCTTTAGTGTATCTCATACAAATGTTTATCTGAAACTCTGACTGTGTGTTCCCAGGGAGAAGACTGAGATCAATAAGTCCTACGTCAATGAAGTCGTCCAGAACATAAAACGGGTGAGCGGAGGATAAAAACATTTATTTGATGGGTTTTTTCTCCAGTCTGAAAGCTCTCTAGTCTAGACGATCAGGAAAAGGTAATGTTTACAACACAATAAAGTGTTGCAGGAATGAGTCCTAAAACCAAGAAATCGGTCAGCATTTTAGCACTTCCTGTTCCCTCATCTGGAAGTCAATGGGTTTTTGAAAGTGTTAGAAGGCTAAAATAAGGTCTGTGGTTAACACAACCTGAAGAGAACGTTTTATTCTACGACATATCTGGTTCATTTAAAAACATGTGTCATAAACGTGTGTTGCCTATTTTCTGCAGTAAGCAAACAGCCAATGGAAAAATCCCATTGCTTTCTGTGGCAGGAACCTGGGAGATGCCTTCAGGGTCCACTACAGAAATAGGAAATCACTGCACCACTCTATATAACGCTTGATAAAACTCTCTGCATGGTTTCTGTCTCCAGCTGGAGGAGACTCAGACGAAGCGCCACGATCAGCTGGTGGAGCAGCACACGCAGCTCCTGCAGGAGATACAGGACCTGAAACCAAAGGTAGAAAAAAGACACACAAAAACAAGAACAAAAAAGTGCTTTACAATAATGCAAAAAGAAAAGTAATACATAAAACAATGGGCCGCAGCATAGTTGAGCTGGTAGAGCTGCAGCCTATGGGTTTGAATCCTAAACACTAGATACCTACATCTCTTTTAATTATTTGCATGCATTTGATACGGATCAGGCTACATTACTTTCATAACTTGAGACTCTGATAAGTTGCTGATTATATTTGTTTACAGGTAACTAGCGGAGGTGGGAAGTAGTGGAGTACAAATACTTTGTTACTTTACTTAAGTACATTTTTCTGTTATCAGTACTTTACTTTGACTTCTTACATGTTGAACACAAATACCTGTACTTTCTACTTCTCACATGTTGAACACAAATACCTGTACTTTCTACTTCTTACATGTTGAACACAAATACCTGTACTTTCTACTTCTTACATGTTGAACACAAATACCTGTACTTTCTACTTCTTACATGTTGAACTCAAATACCTGTACTTTCTACTTCTCACATTTCCCAAACAGGCTGGTTCCTTTAGTTTGAATGTGTGTTTGGTGGCGTGATCATTATTATTTAGAGTCATTGCGTGCCTATTGATTTGAACACGATCCGTGTATCCATCATTTCCTGGTCTTCTCTAAAGAAGAGGGACCAATGAAAACGTTGTCATGTTGCCGTTGGTCACCATGGAAACATTCATTAGCTAACAATGACATTATTGTTCTATTAATATAAAGGGAGGTCAGGTACTCTTTAAAACAGCTGCTAGTTATGGGTACTTTTTACTGAAGTACATTTCAAAGCCCTCTTTACTTTGACATGAGTAAAGAAGTTTAGTCAGTACTTCTACTTTCACCAGAGTATTTTTAAACACTAGTATCTGTACTTCTACTTGAGTAAAGGATGTGTGTACTTTTGCCATCTCTGGTAATACATGTTTAAATTAACCTCTTCACCACGTTGTGTTTCTGTAGCTGCAGGGCTCGGTGGAGGCTGAGTTCCAGGAGAAGTTTCAGTGTTTGCCCGGAGAGATCGAAGACTTCCTGCAGGACAGGAAGTCGGAGGTCCGGAGTCACAGCAAGTCCCGCCCCTCCACTCCTCACGAGGGTCTGTCGGAGGATGACTGAGTGGGGGGAAGAAGTACAAAAGAATGGAAATACCAGGAAGTGAGAGGGGGAGACTGTAACTCTACTTTCTAATGGAAGAACGCTTCAGTGATTTATTTCTACTTCCATTCGAGCATGCACTTTCAGCGTTTATCAGAACTTCTTTAGTTTTCTTTTGTTATTTTGACGGACAATCTTACAACCCAACTGTTTGTGCTGCATGACATCTATCTATCTATCTATCCATCCATCTATCTATCTACCTATCTATCTATCCATCTATCTATCTACCTA